GAAAAAACAAACATCCCAAACGCCTCGATAACGGCCAGATACATTCTATGAGGTGCTCGTGTGACTGTGCCCTCAGTGAGGGCGTGTAGGGGACACACAGGAAAATAAAACAAAACAAAAAAAAGCTCCCTTATGCTGCAATTGAGGGCTGATACAGATGCTACAGCATGGAGACAGTTATGTGCCACCCGTGAAATGCGCCCTGCCTGGCTGGTAGGGCACTAAAACGACATGGGAACAAAATAAAAACAAAACAAAAAAGCAAGCCCCTTCCCCACATAGTGGCCAGATACATTCATCAAAGGCCTCTGCAACTTCCACCCTCGTGAGGGCCTTCCCCCGACGTCCCTGGATTTGAAACTTCCGTTTTTTTTTCTTTTTTTTTTCTTCTTTTCTTCTTTTTTATTTCGTCGGCCTCCAACCCTGCCCCGGGCCCCGTGTTTTAAGGAGTAGGCTACTAGATGGACTTCGCGTTTGCCTGTGAAAGGTAGTGGTGGTTTAAGAGCCACAAGAAAATTTCCTTGTGCCTCAAGGAACTCGTAAAGAGTGTCTAACGACGCCCTAAATCTGCTTTTTCAGATGTACTGGTGGTTCAAGAGAAATAGTTGAACAGCTCCAAAAACAGCTGGAAAAAGAAAAAGACAAAAAAAAAAAACAGCATTTGCTGCATGCATGCACCCGACCACACTTGCAACTGGATTCATTCAACAAAGTTGTGGCATGAGTATATGCAATATTAGAAGCCTCGTAATCGTTACCAAATGAAATGCAGCAGCACAGCAACTATTTTCAATATAATAATAATTAATAAAATAAAATAAAAAAGTGGCAAAGGACAGCAAAAGGATGATCAGACTTTAGGTAGGCTTTAGTCACAGAAATAAATCCTCGGCAGCCGAGAGCCGCTATGCTAACCTTCACTAAGAAAATTAACAGATTGGTGACATGCCTGCTTCAGTACATGTCTTGGTTTGTGAGGGGTTTCGTGTCGGTTGTGAGGGGTTCCCTGGCCTCATTCAGTATTTGAACGAAAGATTGACATGGTTAAAAAAAAAAAAAAAAAAAATCGGGCTCGTCAGACTTACAGCGCTGTAAAGGATGGCCTCAAGGCACTGGTATCGCTCTGTGCGACTGAAAAGTTCCTTGTTGTGTGGCTGTCTCACGTACGCATCCCTGTGTTCCCAGTCAAACACCGCTTGAAGCCCTGCAAAGATGTTCATTTAAATTTTTAATTTTAAACTAAAAGTAAAAAGATTCAGAATAAATTCTGTTTTTTTTAATAATTTTTTTCAAAATTTTTAAAATATTTGTTTAAAAACATTAACTTCATTAAGACCATTTCTTGATTTATGTGTGTCATCCTTGCACAGGGGCCATGCTAATCTATATCTTCTGTGTATCGTTCCAATATTAATTGATGTCCCGAAGGACACAATCACTTTTATTTCTGCTCCCTGTTGTTTTGGATACAATTTCAGAATTCTAGTATTATTCTACAGGTAAATTTCAATTTGTCGAAACCATACGACACGATGGCTTCCATACTGAGATATCGTTTTTTCTTTTTTTGCTTTTTTTTGGGGGGGGGGGGGTGAACCATTTCTCGATTTCTGTGTCATCCTTGCGCAGGGGCCATGCTCATCTTCATGCTCTGTATCATTCCAATTTTATCGGATGTCACGAACAACCAGATATAAATTATACATATAGTCAAACAGAGCTGCCCGGTAGACCGTAGAGAGAGAAGGAGAAGAGGACAGCAAACGAGGGACTGTGACAAACTCTTTCATTGGAGTTTCACCAACTCATCAGGAGGCTGAACCCTCAGCACTCTGCAGAATCCCCTAACTGATTACACTGTAAGTTGTAATCCACCTTAACCCCGGTTGTGGTTACGCATCAACGACTGCCCGACAACTGATACCCCCTCTGAGGAGGTGGGCACCAACCACTGCCCTTCAGGTACCTGTAACGAAAATCAAAGCAGACTATCACTCACCCACACCATATGGAAAACTCTACAGACTGTCGGTTCACAACCCATCACAAGCAAGCAAAACACCCACGAAACAAAGAAAGGTCTATCACAGCCAAAAAGTACACTCCAGACACGCCACTAGCACTGGAGGCACAGCATGGCCGCGTAGTGACGGCCCCGACCACTGATTGATTGGGTGGGTGGGGCTGGGTGGCCCTTCCCCAACCTATCAATCAATCAATATATAAAGAGAAAAAAACAAAAAAACGTGACATTGATTGATTGGTTGATTGGTTGATTGGAGGGGGGCAGAGGGGGGGAGGAGGGCAAAAAAACAAATTAAGAAATATGGAAAAAAAAGCAAGGTTGTGGAGAATTAAAATACAAACAACTTTTGGCTGAGGGCCAATTTGGAATTCCATTTCAAATCGAAGATTAAAAAATTCATTAATAAACCAAATCAAGGTATACTGTTCAGACCCCCTTCCAACCCTGTTAGACCCTTTAAACCACCAGTTACTTGCCACATATTGTTTCTCAAGCTAGTTCTGGGGTCGGGGCCACTGTTGATGAAATTTCATCAATGGACACTAGAATGGCCCTGACCCCTCTCAAGGTTGTGGTCTCAACCCACAGCCGAAATCTTTTTCTCCACTAGAGAGTAGCAGAGACCTCGGAACTCATCAATGCAAAATATACATTTGTGACGATATATAGGTTGCCAGAGTGGCCCGGGTCCACTTGCCCGGCCGGGCCAAAAATAAATAAAAAAATAAAAAAATAAAAATTATTTTTTTATTTAAAGTTATATAATAACTTATATTTTAAATTTGGTAAGGAATTTCGATGTGACCCTGAGGCAAAAGTTGTTCAGTTTACTTTTCTGCATAACATTTTTTTTTCCCGGATTTTTTGGTTTTTCTTTTTTTTGGCTGGGACCTTCCCTGGTCCTTGCAGGCCGGGCCGCCCGGGAAAATAGGGTGACCCGGACGGCCCGGCTGGTAGCCTAGAAAAATATACATTTTTGATGATTTTTTCAAATTTCCAAAATTGGAAAAGATAAAAAAGATCGCACCTGGACTCTGGAGAAAAGGGGAAAATATATATATCGTCACAAACAGAACTGCCCGGTAAACCGTAGGCAGAGAGAGAGAAGAGGACAACAAACGAGGGGCTGTGACAAACTGTTTCGTCGGAGTTTCACCGAAATATATATATAAAGTATCTTTTATAAACAACAAGATAAAGTAAGAATAAATAATATTATTGCAAAAAAAGAATTCTTAGTAAATAATGGAGGAAGATCTCATAACTTTCATTCCAAACAATGTTTTTTATTCTTTTTTGAATAATACAAATCCTAACTCAATCCTATACTCTAGAGTATAGGATTGAGTTAGGATTTGTATTATTCAAAATCTTTTACCTCAAATACAAAAACAACTATGGTTGAACCTCTTCTATCTGGTATAGTACTTGGATTAATTCCTATTACATTAGCAGGATTATTTGTAACTGCTTACTTACAGTATCGACAGTCTGTAGAGTTTTCCATCTGGTGTGGGTGAGTGATAGTCTACTTTGATTTTGGTTAAGGTGGATTATCACTTACAGTGTAATCAGTGAGGGGATTCTACAGACTGTTGAGGGTTCAGCCTCCTGATGAGGCGGTGAAACTCCGACGAAACAGTTTGTCACAGCCCCTCGTTTGTTGTCCTCTTCTCCCTCTCTGCCTACGGTTTACCGGGCAGTTCTATTTGACGATATATACTACGACTTCGCTAGCTTCGCTAGCTTCCTGCTACGGTTTTCTCCGGTCAGGTCGAGCGGCAGTGGTCGGGGCCGTCACTACGAGGCCATGCTGTGCCTCTAGTGCCAGCGGCGTGTCTGGAGTGTATTTTTTGGCTGTGACAGACCTTTCTTTGTTT